TCAGACCCCCCGAGAGCGCCAATTGGAAAGAATCCCATGGATGATTCGGTTCGGCACGAAATAGAATTCGAACGGGAAGAGGATTCCGAATACGACGAAATCCGAATGGAATCCATCATATTTTTGGACGAGCTCGCTCCCCGGCAGCATTTCCTCGAACGTGTACACAGGAGCAAGTGACTTCCCTTAAGGCAGCCCATGGAGCTTTCATGGCCTGTGAAATGTCGTTGGAATGCTGATCCGTGCAACTCTCCCTTGAAAACCTCCTGCCAGGGAACGAAGCCCTCGCAGCTGTTTCAACTTCCACCAGGCAACCATCCCTTCCACCAGCGAACACACCCTGTCACCGGGGAACAACCCTCTCGCGGCCCTGGAGGGCCCCAGAAGCTCGCGAGAGCTCCCCGCCGAACATCCGCCGACAGAAACCCGCCGCTTGCTGCCTCACTCCCGCCACCGCGCGGCAAAAGGTGCAAACCGAGGGCGAGGCCGCCTCCTGGAGCGCCCTACTGCATGCTCCAGAAGGGGCAGGGCAGCGCGAAAATCACGGCGCGATCCAGACACCCAGACTCCATCGCGCTGTGAAGAAAAAAAATCCTGGCGAAGGTCCCAACCATATGCAGTTGTGGGTATCGTAATTGTGAATATCTGCTTCGGCGAAGCTCCCTATGAGGCCACGAAGCGCTGCACTGGGCGGGGGGGAACGCTGTACTGTGTGGGTGGTGTGCCGAATTGGGTTTCCGGGACGCATGCGGACGGTCCCACTGAGGGCTTCGGTCGAGCTCCCTATGGGGCCACGAAGCGCTCTACTGAGTGAGTGAAAATGGCAAATTGAGTTACCGGGGCGCATGCGGACGGTCCCACTGGGGTCTTCGGTGGAGCGCCCTATGGGGCCACGAAGCGCTACACTGCACCGGTGAAAATGCCAAATTACACTTCCCGGACGAATGCGGACGGTGGCACTGGGGCCTTGGGTGGAGCCCCCTATGGGGCCACGAAACGCTGCACTGGGTGAGCGAAAATGCCAAACTGGGCTTCCGGGACGCATGCGGACGGGGGCACTGGGGCCTTCGGTGGAGCTTCCTATGCGGCCACGAAACGTTGTACTGGGTGGGCGAAACGCAGGGAGGAGGGGGAGGAGGGCCACGAAACGCTGTACTGGGTGTGCGGGACGCATGCGGACGGTAGCACTGGGACCTTCGGTGGGGCTCCCTATGGGGCACGAAACGCTGTACTGGGTGTGCGGGACGCATGCGGACGGTAGCACTGGGACCTTCGGTGGGGCTCCCTATGGGGCCACGAAACGCTGTACTGGGTGGGTGAAACGCAGGGAGGAGGGGGAGGAGGGCCACGAAACGCTGTACTGGGTGCGCGGGACACATGCGGACGGTAGCACTGGGACCTTCGGTGGGGCTCTCTGTGGGACCTCTGGGTGTGCGGGACGCATGCGGACTGTAGCATTGGGACCTTCGGTGGGGCTCCCTATGGGGCCACGAAACGCTGTACTGGGTGGGTGAAACGCAGGGAGGAAGGGAAGGAGGGCCACGAAACGCTGTACTGGGTGTGCGGGACGCATGCGGACGGTAGCACTGGGACCTTGGGTGGAGCTCCCTATGGGGCCACGAAACGCTGTACTGGGTGCTGTACTGGGTGTGCGGGACGCATGCGGACGGTAGCGCTGGGACCTTCGGTGGGGCTCCCTATGGGGCCACGAAACGCTGTACTGGGTGTGCGGGACGCATGCGGACGGTAGGGAGGAGGGGGGGGCACGAGAGGAGGAGAACGCGGGGACCGTCTCTTCAAAACGAGGACCCAACACCACAGGATGGTTGGGAAAAAAATGATGCTAACGGAGTTCCCCACATGGGCGTTTTAATAGGGCGCGGGCTTAGTCAGGAGGAAGAGGAAGAGGCGGAGGTGCAGGGGGAGGGGTCGACGAGGATGGCCGGGTGACGGGGGCGACGAAGACTGCAATTGGCGATGGCAATGTGCAGGCAAATGTTTTGGGGAACACCTCGCGTACACGACGCGGCCAAGATAGTGCAAATCGGAACGACATTACAAGAGCGGGGGCCTTCGCGCGCGCAGTGCGGGCGGGCCACGCAGAAGGTTCCCGAATACTGTCCTCGCTCTGGCGGGGCCTCCCTGGAGGGGTGGGAGGGGCACGAAACCTGATAAATAATACTGTTTGCGAATACTGTCCTCGCTCAGGCGGGGCCTCCCTGGAACGGTGGGAGGGGCACGAAACCTGATAAATAATATGGTTTGCGAATGCTGTCCTCGCTCTGGCGGGGCCTCCCTGGAGGGGTGGGAGGGGCACGAAACCTAATAAATAATATGGTTTGCGAATACTGTCCTCGCTCAGGCGGGGCCTCCCTGGAGCGGTGGGAGGGGCACGAAACCTAATAAATAATATGGTTTGCGAAAACTGTCCTCGCTCTGGCGGGGCCTCCGTGGAGCGGTAGGAATAAGACGAGGGAGCGAGCGTGGTAGGTAGGTATTGTATGGTATTGTATCGTGTGGTAGGTATGCGGTGATGGTGCATGTATGGTTTCCTAGGTGTGGTATGGTAGGTACGGTGGTCTGCTATAGTATGGTATGGTATTGTATGGTATGGTATAGTAGGAGTAGGAAGAGGGAGCGGTATTGTATGGTATGGTATAGTATGGTATGGTAGGAATAGGAAGAGGGAGGGGGAGGTGGGAAGGTGGGAAGGTGGGAAGGTGGGAAGGAGAGGGTGTCCTGGGAAAACAAGAACCCCTGGGCGCTGGGAGGGGCACGAAACCTGATAAATAATATGGTTTGCGAATACTGTCCTCGCTCTGGCGGGGCCTCCCTGGAGGGGTGGGAGGGGCACGAAACCTGATAAATAATATGGTTTGCGAATACTGTCCTCGCTCAGGCGGGTCCTCCCTGGAGCGGTGGGAGGGGCACGAAACCTGATAAATAATATGGTTTGCGAATACTGTCCTCGCTCAGGCGGTGCCTCCCTGGAGCGGTGGGAGGGGCACGAAACCTGATAAATAATATGGTTTGCGAAAACTGTCCTCGCTCAGGCGGGGCCTCCCTGGAGCGGTGGGAGGGTCACGAAACCTGATAAATAATATGGTTTGCGAATACTGTCCTCGCTCTGGCGGGGCCTCCCTGGAGGGGCACGAAACCTGATAAATAATATGGTTTGCGAATACTGTCCTCGCTCAGGCGGGGCCTCCCTGGAGCGGTGGGAGGGTCACGAAACCTGACAAATAATATGGTTTGCGAATACTGTCCTCGCTCTGGCGGGGCCTCCCTGGAGCGGTGGGAGGGGCACGAAACCTGATAAATAATATGGTTTGCGAATACTGTCCTCGCTCAGGCGGGGCCTCCCTGGAGCGGTGGGAGGGGCACGAAACCTGATAATAATATGGTTTGCGAATACTGTCCTCGCTCAGGCGGGGCCTCCCTGGAGGGGTGGGAGGGGCACGAAACCTGATAAATAATATGGTTTGCGAATACTGTCCTCGCTCTGGCGGGGCCTCCCTGGAGCGCTGGGAGGGGCACGAAACCTGATAAATAATATGGTTTGCGAATACTGTCCTCGCTCTGGCGGGGCCTCCCTGGAGGGGTGGGAGGGGCACGAAACCTGATGAATAATATGGTTCGCGAATACTGTCCTCGCTCTGGCGGGGCCTCCCTGGAGCGGTAGGAATAGGAAGAGGGAGCGAGCGTGGTAGGTAGGTAGGTATTGTATGGTATTGTATCGTGTGGTAGGTATGCGGTGATGGTGTATGTATGGTTTCCTAGGTGTGGTATGGTAGGTACGGTGGTCTGCTATAGTATGGTATGGTATTGTATGGTATGGTACAGTATGGTATGGTAGGAGTAGGAAGAGGGAGCGGTATTGTATGGTATGGTATAGTATGGTATGGTAGGAATAGGAAGAGGGAGGGGGAGGTGGGAAGGTGGGAAGGTGGGAAGGTGGGAAGGAGAGGGTGTCCTGGGAAAACAAGAACCCCACTCAGGATGTGGGGAATGAGGGGAGGGTTCTCGCTATCTTCGGCCTCTGGGGACCCGCAGGGGCGATGAAGAACCGGTCCCGGGGAAGAGGGCGAGACCTCTGGGGGTCGACGCTGTGAAAAAATCACGACATCGGGGTTCTGGGCACCCGACTGTGCTTTTGGTGTGGCACCCGCGACCCCGGAAACCTGGACCTCCTCCGTGGAGGCAGCTTTTTCCGTCCCAGGCCCGCTTCGGGCTGGCCCAGGAGCCCGAGACCGTCCCCGGGGGTGGTGCCGAAGCGAGGAAGAAGCACCAGGCCTTACATATAGCATCCGCCCGAAGTCTCCCCCTCCTACCTGGGGCCTCTGGCGGCCGCTCGGGACGATCCGGGCACCCCAGGAGCAACGCCCCCGGCGACGCGCAGCTGCTGAAGAGCATCCCATGGCGAGAAGAGATCCAAGAGCTGGCGAAACCTCCCGGAAGTTCCCAACTATTGGCAGGCACGCCAACGAAGAAAGCGACCTGCCAGCAGGCGCCTCACGGCGAAATCATGCCCACCGGTGGCCCTCCCGGCCCACAGAAGATCTGGGACACCTCAGGACCCTCAAAGACGGACGAAGAAGGCGCCCCAAGATTTCTCATCGCAGGGTTTCTTCTCGCACCTGCTTTCTCTAGAACTTCCGACAGCTTCTGAGCTGAGAGCCTCTGGTTTCGTCGGCCTGGGGGGTCCCAGGGAGTGGCTTCGGCTGTCCCATACAGTGCTGGCGCGGCCGCAAGAAACCCAACCCTGAGAACCCGCGCGCGAGGTACACCTGAGGGGAAACCCAGAGCACCCTGAACGCAGCAGCTCCTCCAACGGCTGCGGGAGGTCACCGCGCAGCACGAGGAGCGAAAAAACCCAGGATGCCCTTACGAAAAGCAAATGGCTTCTTCATGCGCGCACCCTCTGTATGACCGCTTCCCCTGCTATGCCCTCCACAAGCTCCCTCCCAGGGCATGCGGCCACCCCACCCACACGGGGGCGCCTGGGGCGGTGGGACCTCCGCGACGGTGATCCCGAATCGCAGCTCCGCAGACGCCGGCGCGCCTCTCGGGCGCCCCTTCGGCATCCCCACCCCCCAAGAGGAAGGGAGGGAGGAGAGGGGGGAGAGGGAGGGAGGGAGGGAGGGAGGGAGGAGGAGGGAGGGGAGAGGGAGGGAGACAAGGAGGAGAGGAGGCGGGAGGAGAGGGAGGAGGGAGGGAGAGGGAGGAGAGGGAGAGAGGGAGGAGATGGGAGGGAGAGGGAGGAGAGGGAGGAGGAGGAGGAGGAGGAGGAGGAGGAGGAGGAGGAGGAGGGAGGAGGAGGAGAGGAGGAGAGGAGGAGGAGGAGGAGAGGAGTAGGAGGAAGAGGAGGAGGGAGGGAAGAGGGAGGGGCAGGGAGGAGGAGGAGGAGGAAGAGGAGGAGTGAGGAGGAGGAGGAGGAGAGGAGGAGGCAGTACGGAGGAGTACGGAGAAAAGAGAGGGATGGAGGATAGGAAGGAGGAAGGAGAAGGAAGGGAGGAGGAAGGAGGAGGGAGGAAGGGAGGAGGAAGCAGGGAGGCAATGAGGCAGGGAGGCAGGGAGGGGGGGGGAGAAGGGAGGGAGGTGAGAGGGGGAGGGAGGGAGGGGGGGAGAGGAGGGAGGCCTGCCCTTCTGGCTGCCGCAGGAAGCTTCCGGCGTCCCCGGGACTAGCGCCGGGGAGCGTGATCGGGACAGGGCGGCCTCTCCCCCCTGCCGTGGCTGCTTGGCCCGCCTTCTGTCCTCCACCTCCTCGGCACGAGGGGCGGAGGGAGGGGGGAAAAGGAGGACGGATGAGGCAGGAAGGAGAAAAAAAGACGGGGTGGATGAGCAGGGAGGGAGGGAGGGAGGGAGGGAGGGAGGGAGGGATGGGATGGGATGGGATGGGAGGATGGGAGGGAGGGAGGAACGGAGGAGCAAGGAGGGACGGCGGCAAGTGCGGCCCGTCACTAAAGACGACGGCCATGCATGCGAGCATACAACTGAACGGAGAAGGAGGAGGAGGAGGAGGAGGAGGAGGAAGAGGAAGCAGAGAGGAAGGAGGAGGAGCATCGAGTATCGAGCTATTCGACGTAGTCGAGTTTACAAACTAAAATCGGTTTCGCTGCTCAGCTTTGCTAAGAAGCTTTGGCCACTTCCCCTGCTCTATTCGATCGAGGTACTCTCGTCGGTGAGCAGGGATCTGAAAGTCACACGGCTTACTAAGAGCACGATTCTGTTGGCTGCCGCATCGACCGCAGCCACGACAGAACCAGACTTTGTGTGCAAGCTGTGATCGCATCGCATGAGTCGAATCGATCCAACCCCCAGCAATGCGGAGCCGCCCCCCCCGAGGAACAGCAGCATATTTACTGTCAAGCGTGACGGGCTGGAAACAAAGGGACTGCCACCACTCTTTCTGGGTGGCCAGGGATGCTGAGCCACAGCATCGCAAACAACTCTTACGATCATCACTGAGAGAATGGGCGGAGCAAAAGGAAGAAACGAGGGAAGGGGCGGGGGGGGGAGGAGGAGGTGGGTCCTTACTCCTCACGGCGCCGTTCCCACCCCGCTCCTCGGCCTCCAGCGCGTCCGCCGTGGCGCGCACGAGGCGGTGCCGCACCAGGGCGGCCGTTGCCTCGGCCTGGTAGGCCCTCGTCCTCGCCTCGTCGGGGACGCGGGCACAGTGGGCCGCCGCACTGGCGGCCTCGCCAGCTGCAAGGTTGCCCTGGGCGAGCCAGGATGGAACCTCGCGCGCAACAATATCATCTGCAGTCAAATGTGAGTTGACGAAAAGAACACTCAACTGAGTTGGACGGGCTTGCAACTTTTTCCCCAGGGTCAACCAAAGGTCAGCGTTGGGCCCAGAGGGCCTCTTGCACAAACCAGAATAAAAGCCTTGGGCAACAGCATCGTTGTCAGTCACATAACAAACGAAGCCTCGCGTGCATTCCACTGCCAACAAAAGTGCTCTGAGTTCGCCTCGGGGCACCGACTGAGATTTCCCGACCAAGGGCCCACTGACCGACGAACGAATGCGGCAGGGTTCGAACGAATCAAAAGCAACAACTCCGAGCCCGACACGAATGAAACGTTGGTCTGCAGCGTTTCTCCCCCCACTTGCATCGCCAAACGCAATGATGGGCTCGCGAAAGGACCCTTCACCAAGACATCCCTCAAGATCGTTCGACGAGCTGCCTCGGGTGTGCCAGTTCTCCTGAGACGGAGGCTGCGGCACTGCAGCCCACGCTGCTGGGATGAGGCCTCGTAGCCAAAAGCATGCTTCAGACTCTGCACCTGCGTACGCTGCCGGCGTGAGCGAATCAGAATCTGTATATGCCTTACAGCCCCTGTTCTCGGCACATCCCCAGAACCTGTGGAAAGGGGTCTCGGGCTCCTCGGAACACCTGGGGCATAAAACATCTTGGTTTCCCTTCAGCTGCTCATGTCGGCGTACTCGTGGCCAGGCTCCGCCTGTGGCCACTGATACTAGCAACTCACTTAAACGGTTCCCGTGTGGAGCGAAAAGCAGCTGCTTCAACAGACGACGTAATGAATAATTATCGATCCCCCACTGCATACCTTCTCCACAATAGTGCTGGGATGCGTTCCTCCAAAGCTGATTCTGGATGGTCTGGTCGAAATCGTCCAAGAGGGGATCAGGGTTATCCTCGATCAGGTTTCCAGCCAACTCTGAAGATGGGAAACGCCAAGCAGCTAAATCATCACAATCCCCTGGAGCGTTCCAATGCGAGGGCTCCGCGGGGTCCCAACCTGCTTGGAGTAAATACAAAATAACGGCACCAGTGGGACCCCGAACACACCGAGATCTCTGATTCTCAGGGGTGCTTCGCAAACGTTCCAATAACTTGGGCCGAGCCCGAGATATGCCTGGCCTGATTGTCGGCAGCGATAGCCACTGGCGAAGCCAGAGGTCGAGGCAGGCTCGCGGCAGAGTACGTGCTGGGTCCCCTCCAGGGCATCTGATATCCAACAGCGTTGTCAAACATCGGCCCTTCTTGCCAGTGCCGCAAGCCGCTCCGAGCTGCCGTCGGGCTCCCAGCATGGCGGTGCCAAAGACTCCGTGCAACTGGTGCCCGTAGAGCTGGGCAGACAGTGTGCCGACTCTTGTCAGCTTGCTGGTAACGACGTACCGCCGAGCTGCACGTGCAAAACCGACTACTTTCCGATGCATATGTTTGCCTTTAACCACTCTTTTCGACCGTTGTTGGCGAGCATGTCGTATACCTCCCCCTAAATCCACCCCGAGATATCCAGCCTGAGATTGGGGATGAACAACAAAACCTGCAACTCGGAGTTTCATGGAGATATACTTCGCATCGGCAATGTTAGAGCACAAGATGATGCTCTTTGGTGAGACGGTCAAAGACTCGCGCTGGAGGGCACGACAGGTGTCCAAAAGACCTGATAGTAATATTTGGCGCAGCTGTGCTCGTGATGCATGGACCCGCTGAGATAGATCATCTATCCAGATCCTCGAACCCATACCTGGATGCGCGGTAGTGATCTTTGATAAGATAAAATATGTAAGGCACCTCGCAAACCTGGTTCCTCCTCGTAAACCCTGCACAATGCTTCTCGTTGGGAGTATGGGTTCGGCGAAAGCTCCACATTGACCTACAGCACGAGGCATGAGGCATTGTACAAGTTCTAGCACCAAGACTACAGACGGAAATCCCAAACGTATTGCTGCAGGTATAAGTAGAAACCATTCCATGGCGTCGTAGAAACCCTGGATGTCCAGAAGCCCGTGGCCCGTGGGAATCCCAAGGGTGCCTGAAACCTCTTCCTCGCAGACTCTCATAAAAGCCTCTCGTAAAGCAGCATTTCCTGAAATCGCAGCGTCCCACATGGGCTCGGACTCATTGGCCCAAGTCTTGACCAGGGGTTCGCGTGTGAGACTCCAAATTCTAGCAACCATCGTGAGCAGCCCTATGACCCTGTCCCCTGAGGCTTTTTTGGGGATCATGCGCCCAATGGTTAATCCCAACTGTGATGGCCATGTGAGGGTCTCCTCGATCACTCCATACATGCGAGCTAACTCGTCCAGGGCAACATCTGGTAGTCGCTCGACGTCCGTCGGCGACAAGACATCGACACCCATGCCTGCACGAGGGCGCATCGCATGGGCTGCCTGGCGAATATCCGAAACTGAGATTGGCCCCAGGGGATCCTGACGAGCCTCGACTCGGGCTCGCTCGAAAGCTTCGAGAACCTTGGTTTCCTCCAGAGGTCCAGGGGCCCAGAGGTCTCTAAAAACCTTCGCTTTGGCATCAACAATATCCCGTGGGTGAAATACAACTTGCTGGCCGACTGTGACCTCGTCTAAGGGCAAAGGTTCTTGCCGCATCGCACGGTGCAAGACGCCTGATGCAGCTGGCTGTACCATCCAATCTCGGAACTCAGCAATCGAGGCTCGCATGGCACGGCAGCGACAGCGAGCAGCTATCTTCCTAGCCGAGTGGACAAAATCTGCGAGCTCATACTGGTGTTCTGGAGCTCCCAGAGACAGCACACTTCTCCAAACCTCCCAAGACGGGTCGATTCCTTCGCGTAGGCCCCTGTGGGCCTGATCAGGTGACTCATCCAACAAATTACGACAAGCGATTTGCAATTGGGACTGTTGGGCATAGCCGTTTCCCCGTGCACGATGATTGTTTAATCTGCGCAGAACCGCGTGGACTCGCTCCCACCATGAAGCCACCACATCCCGATACGGCACTAACCTACCTTTATTAGGTACACGTTGTTCAACGACTTTGAAAGAATACCCTCTGCCACGTGATAACGAAGGCGGGCCATCCACTCCATGATGCTCGTACACCGTCCTTTCCAACGTCGTCACCCATGAGGCATATAGAGCCGAGACTGGGCCGACGGACGAGGGTTCAAGCCTAGCGGCTACGGACGAGGCAAAAGCAATGGGGGGAGGGCACTGATGTTCAGGGATAAACCCGACCGCCGTCCTGGCTTCGATCGAGGTCTCGGCTGGGATAAAGAAGCTGACCTCGGTGTTCTCCAAACCTTGGGGGGGCGGCTCTTGAAACTCGC